ATTGTTTAGATTATAACTGTATTTTACTTTTGAGCTTTTTAAGTAATAATCATTCAATCAATCAATTAGTTTATAAAGCGCTATTTCCGCAATGTTCAACAGCTCTCATCAATAAATTTTGCAAACAGATGAGTCTTGAGATTCGCTCTGAACTTTGTATGTGATGGAGAAGTAGTCAGAGAAGGAGTAGAGAGTTCCAGAAAAAAGGGCCAGAAAAAGCAATTGCAGATTTAGCAAAAGAATGTTTAACACGGGCTAAGAAAAAATGAAAACAAGAAGACGATCGTAAACCGGCACGTTATGGTTCAATTAATATATCAGATAAGTATTTAGGAAATAATTTAAATTGAGACTTATACATAACAATGTGCAATCTATTTTTATTCTATATTTTTTGCAAGAGAATAAGATATGGAGATATATGAAAAAAAAGGCACGGACAACTAGACGAGTCGCAGAGTTATAAGCTTTAGTTAAAGTGTAAAATCAGGAAGGCCATAGTAAAGCAAAATACAATAATCAATCCTAGATAAGACTAACGAAGTAACAAGAAGGAGAAGGTAGGATCGTCAAGAAAAGGCAAAAATTTTTTATTCTACCTAGATGAAAGTAAGAACTTCTTGCAACACTATTAATCTGAGAAGAAAGAGACATACTAAAATCAAAGATAAAGCCTAGACAACGAAACTTGTGAGAAACATTAAAAGTTTTAGAATTAGTTAAGATAATAGGAAGAATAGTAATAGAGTGCTTAGATTTATTAAAACAAATTAATTCAAATTTAGAAGGTATAAGTTTAAGACACATAGAGTCAGACTAAGCGATAATTGAAGAAAGACATAGAGATAGATTATGAAAAACAGTATTGAGATTAGATGGAGGAAAAGAGGTATAAATATAAGAATCATCTTGTGAAAAGTAAAGATCGTGGTTAGATAATAACGAAATCAGTAATTCGATCAACAAAATGTTCCAACCAAATGATAACTCGATCGCCATATTACCTCTTTTCAAAAAAACGGCGTCAACAGATTGGTTCGAAAATGCCGAAGTGGATAAAAAAACAAGATTAAAATAAATTTGAATCTGATGAATGTAAACAAAATTGAAGAAAGGCAGACACCAGAAGAATCCAATGAAATAAAAGTTGTCCTGAGCAAGAACAAAGATAAAAAGGACATCCAACAATCACAACAACAAAATGCTGAGCAGAATGTTACCATTTCATCAGCAAATTCACACATGAACGATTCCTTCCTTCCAGCTCTCTCTCTCTCTCTCTCTCTCTCTTCCTTTTCCTGTTCAACAGGATAGGCAGCAAGATCACCACAAAAAAAGAAAAGCAGAGCATAGTTCATCGTCCTCACACTCATCTCATTCTAGAAATCGCTTGAAGCTGGACAGAACTTTGCATGAGAGTTCAGAACAAAAATCGAACCAACAACTAAAGCGTCAACTCCGTTATCAGCAACAACGTCATCACCAACAATACCATGAACATCTCTATAAACAAGATAAATGTCAGCTACAGCAGAACCATCAACCTCATTATCAGCGAAAAAAGCAACATCATCACGAAAAACAAGATCAAAGCCAGCGATATCGGTACCAAAAACCACATCTTCCAAGTACAGTGGAAAATAAAATTCAACACAAAAAACAAACATTTTTCTATTGGAATGGCTCCGCCTCTTGCGGGGGAAAATTGTAGTGGATTAAATATATATAGTTATTTTAAACATTCAACATTTTTAATTATTTAGTTTTATTAAAAATTTAAATATCTGTGTTTGAATTTAATCTATTATTAATACTACTACTTCTTTACTTTACTTTTCCTTTTCCCTTTTTACGATAGTACAAGATTGTTACGTTTGTTTGGTTAATAAAATTAAATAATTTCTATTTGTCTTAAATAGTCCGATTTATAATCCGACAAAAAAACAAAATAATATTAATCGATCATTCTTCAACAGTAAAATTATTGAGAACATAAGAAAAACGATTACAAAGTTAACAAAAAAAAAACAAGATAGACAAGAGTCACTAATATTAAATGAAAAATCTAGCAACCTCAAAAGAATAGTATGATCAACAGTATCAAAAGCAAAAGAAAAGTCAAGAGGAATAAGAAGAGTAAGATTACTATTGTCACTAGAAAGATGAACAGATATATGGATTAAATCAGCACTATTAAAAAAACCCAGTTGTTAATAATGCTATATATTGTAATATATATTATATTTTATCAATCAATCAATCAATCAATCAATCAATCAATCATTGTTTATAGTTTCCATACGTTATGGGTCGGAGTTTTTTATTTCATTCATCAGCTTCTGTAATATATACTACAGCATGATGTGTAATATATATTATATATATACGCTTATATTTATATATACAAAATTTAAACAGCACAAACTTTGTTTGTAAAATATAGCATTATGATATATTATTTAAAACATCTCACAAGACCTTTTGATAAAAATTGAAATAATTTATATTTTCTGTGTTGTCCTGCAAGATAGTTTTGGTTGTTTTCTTGATACAACTTTACTAATCTAATAAGTAAAAAGTTACAAATTAATCAATGATATGAATGTGGTATAAAATGTGATATAAAAAATTGAACAAGTCTATTCATGGAGATGCAATTTAAATGTTACTTACCAATGGTTCCCTTTGTGCAACTCTGCTTATGTCTAATCCAAAAAAATTATTTTTATATGATTAATATTATTATATTAATGTTAAAATAGAAAATAATTTGTAAATGTAATTTCCAAAAAAACACTGTCGTTAAAAATCAGGCCAGCTATTTAGGTTACACGTTAAAATACAAAAACAAAATAGATAATCCAACCTTAGGCTGACTGGACAAGATTATAAAAAATAATTACATTGCAGTTAATTGCAGTGAAATAAGCATGAAGTGAGAAAATAAATTAACTTAAAAGTAAACAATAATAATAAAGTTCATAATTTCATATTTAGAATGTTATATAATTAATTAATCACTTTTATGATGAAAATAAAATAGCACCATGATAATGGAAATGTATTTTTTAAAAGATGATTTCATATTTTCAAGCTGAAATGCTGTTACACTTATGCACAGTAGGCTGTATAGTGTCTAGTAAGCTTTTAGGCATCTTTGGGCATGAAAATATACTTTTTAAACATTGGTAGGCGAGGAAAATATACTTTTATGCACAGCAGGAAGGAGTTTGGGTAAGGGTTATTACAACATGTTTTATATGTACAAAAAATTACAAAAAATTAGGCACTCATATTTTTTTTATTAATCTTAGTTTAGTTTTTACTTTTTTTATTATATAATTATACTCCCACTTATGATGAATGGCTCTTAATACTTATTTAATAAATGTTAATTGCCTGGTAGGCTGAAATATATACATTTGTAAAAATAGGAATTTTAATATGTAAAAGTTGAACATGTGATTTGAAATAAAAAATGTAAGATAGAAACTTTCAACAGCATAATAAAATAAAAACTGCCATTAAAATTATAAAAAGCTATTAGTTACGTCTAAAACTACAAAATCTATCAAACCGTTTGCTGTATTGATAAAAATATTAAAAAACTGTTCGATAAGATTTACAAATTTTATATAAACTAATATAAAAGTTAAAACTAACACAAAATAGAAATGGTGACCGGGCAACAACTTCTCAGATCAAACAACTAAACAAAGTGTCCAAAAACCATAAATGCTGTTTACATCGTTTGTTACCAAAAATCATAAATATAATTTGTAATACTATACAGTATTTAAAAATATTTTTCCATATTTTTATATACAAAAGTAAATGTTTTAAATAAAAATTATAAAATTACAGATTATAAAAAAAAATTTAATTGTTAAAATAACAATTTACTTCATCTAATAAAAAAAATGATACGTTGAAAATGTTACCATATATCATCATAATTATTCTAATAACTAACGCAAACAACGTAAAAAAAATTGTAAAATAAAATAAAAAATTTTAACAATTTTGAATAAAATAGAAAAGGAAACAAAATTAACTTTGATGTAAAAAAAATTGTATTTAATTATAAAATGTTTAGCGCTATAAAATGAGTGTGATAATTAGGAAATTCATGCTTTCCATAAACCAGGTGGTTCATTTCCAACTTCTTCTCGCTACTGAATGCTGCTTTTTATGATTGTTTGTGCGATTAACAATTTTGAAGCTGGTTTGAACGTCGATGGAAGAAAAATTCTAAACTCCATCAAAAAGTTAGTAAAAATTGTTTGCATTGGTTTTATTTATTGATTTTATTGTTTTTAATTAAAATGAGATGTTGTTTTTAATTATTTTCAAATATTATGTTATTCAAATGTTGTTATGGCAAAATTTGTTTGAGAACCACGTGCTGCGAGACAATGAGAAATTATTTTATATTAAGCGTGTGTATGATGAAATCAAATTCAACCAATTTGTAAAATAAAATAAATATATCTATATATCATTGTGCCAAATTCATATGACAATCTTTTAATATCTTCATAATTCAATAACCACGAGTTACGAATCAATCGTTTAAGAATGCTTGTTATTCGCCGTTAATTGTAAATGATCGATTGAGTTGTATAAAAAGTTTATCTTTTAATGTTTTTGATCAAAATAAATTTAGTTTCAACTATAATTATAAATGTCGGCTAAAGAACTAAAATAGAACTTATCTATTTAAAAAAAATTTATATAGTTTTCGCAACACGTGCTTCATTGTCATTGATAATTTTTAATATTTTTAACTTTAAATGTGTCTAGATCAAATTAATTTCTTAAACGTCATTTGCTTTAAGTTCAGTGCTATTCGGCGTGCGATGCTATGTGATGCTATAAGGCGTGAGAAATCTGCACGGCGAATTGAACGTGTTAATGCTATAAAGCGTGAAGCCGCACGGCGAATTAGACGTTGAGATGCTATAAGGCGTGCGAATCGCGGGTAAATACGACTCTTGAAATTATAAATAGCGAGACACCCGCCCGTTTCGGCCGCACCGTCGGCGAGGCGGAGCAGTAGCGCACGCGTTGGGACCCGAAAGATGGTGAACTATGCCTGAGCAGGACGAAGCCAGAGGAAACTCTGGTGGAGGTCCGCAGCGATTCTGACGTGCAAATCGATCGTCGAACTTGGGTATAGGGGCGAAAGACTAATCGAACCGTCTAGTAGCTGGTTCCTGTCGAAGTTTCCCTCAGGATAGCTGGCGCTCGTTGTTGCAGTTTTATCCGGTAAAGCGAATGATTAGAGGCCTTGGGGACGAAACGACCTCAACCTATTCTCAAACTTTAAATGGGTAAGAAGTCCGACTCGCTCGATCGGAGCCGGGCCATAACGAATGCGAGTGCCAAGTGGGCCACTTTTGGTAAGCAGAACTGGCGCTGCGGGATGAACCGAACGCCCGGTTAAGGCGCCAAACACTGACGCTCATGAGAGACCATAAAAGGTGTTGGTTGATATAGACAGCAGGACGGTGGCCATGGAAGTCGGAATCCGCTAAGGAGTGTGTAACAACTCACCTGCCGAATCAACTAGCCCTGAAAATGAATGGCGCTTTAGCGTCGGGCCTATACCGGGCCGTCGCCGCAACACGCAAGGTAGCGAAAACCATGCGGCGACGAGTAGACAGGCCGCCGCGGCGGCACGGAAGCTTAGGGCGCGAGCCCGGGTGAAGCCGCCGCGGGTGCAGATCTTGGTGGTAGTAGCAAATATTCAAACGAGAACTTTGAAGACTGAAGTGGAGAAGGGTTCCATGTGAACAGCAGTTG